CCGCAATGACCATGTTGGTAGTACGATGCTTGAACTTATAGACACCAGCATCAGACTGGATTTGTTCGAAGCCCAGCTCTTTTAGGGATTTCCGAAGTGCCTGCCACCATTGGCGACCGGCTTGCTTCAACCCGTAGAGAGCCTTGTGCAAGCGCCAAACCTTGCGCAAGTTGTTGGGGGTATGATGCCCCTTCGGAATCTCCATATAGATCTCCTCATCCAGATCGCCATAAAGATAGGCGTTCCGCACATCGAGGCCAGAGACGTACCAGCCTTTGAGCGCTGCGAGTGCCAGTATCGTGCGAACGGTTTCGAAACGCACTACTGGGGAGAAGACTTTGGAGAAGTCGATGCCTTCGCGCTGGGAAAAACCCTTAGCGACCAGGCGTGCCTTTCGGCGGCCATCTGTTTTTATGTCGAATACCCATCGACACCTGATCACCCTACGACCGGGCGGCAGGTCAACTTCCGTGAAGACACCCCGTCGGACGAGAGCTTCAATCTCGTCACGACAAGCCTGCATCCAGGCTTCCGACTCCTCGGCGGGTAGTGATATTATGTCTTCATACTTCCATTCCCTCACATTTGCGAGGTCTGGTCCAAGTTCCGTAGATGCTGCGTACGCGTGTAGAAGCATACGATCCACGAACTTTGCTGCTGCTTCCTTCGCCGAAGCGATATGCGCCGCTGCGTTTCGCATTAACGCGTGCGGAAGGGGTTCTAATTCCCTTGATGCGAGGGCCATGAGTGAGGTGGGGCCATCGTCGTCGTCCATAGGCGTCGAGTTTCTATGCCTCTGCCAGAGGTTTTTGAAACGTTCCTGCATACTTTCGACCTGATCTATGGTGAGATTTGGGTCGATAGGCGTCAAAGCGTCAGATTCTAGGCGTATGCCTGTCTTCTGCCATTTCGACGGAGGCATCTCGGCCTCAGCACCCGGCTGATGGTCGTGAATTCCCTCTACAGGATTTCCTCGTAGTCGCTTATAGACGGTACCCTCTAATCGTTTGTCGATATTCCTCAGTCTCTCTACCGGGGTGCGTCCCGGTATAGCGTTGTTGGGATCCTCGATCGGTATCCTCGTTCGCCCAGACCTCCGTATCTCGGTTGGCGCCGGTCCGGCAGGATAGACAATTCGAGGGTCTAGATCCACCCTTGGTTCGCGATGCGATGTACGCGTGTCGCGTTCCAACGGAGCTGGCTCTTCGTCAGGATCCGGCAGAAGATCTTGTTGTTCCCTTCGTGAGGGGTCATCTGCTGGTGGATTCTGGTACAGACCCTCATACTCGTCGTCGTCGAATTCGCCTTCACCGTATTCCGGTTCCAGCTCTTTCTCCAACTCCGCGTAGTCATCCTCGTCAAAATCCTCGACCTTAGGCTGTTGCCTTTTGCGCTTCTCGTCTGGAGTGTCTGACCTTGGCGTTGGAGGCGGGCTTGGGCTTCGCCGCCCGTCGGCAGGTCCACCGTTGCCACCTTGGTTAGGAAGCATGTCAGCAGGAGACGATGGTCGGTCGTCATCCGAACCAGAAGGACTGTTGTCATTGATGGGAAACCTAGGTGGTAGTAGCTCATCCACCTCTGGTAAGCGCGTAAAGCGCTTGGTGTTCCGTTGCCAGAACATGGTACGCTTCGGAAAAGTCTGCTCATCGAACGTTGCGTTAACAGCGACCCGTAATCTCCATTCTCCGGTTAGGAACAGTCTCCCGTTCCCTGCCGGTGACTCCCCGACGTAAATACACGCCTGAGATCTTGGAACAAGTTTGTTGGCTCGTTCCTCAGGAGTAAGGTACACGTACGCCAGACACCCGAAAACACGCAAGTAATCGACGCGGGGTTTTTTACCCTCCACAATCTCATATGGCGTTTTCCAGCGCATTGACTGCGCCGCCTTCGGGCGTTTCATGGGCGTCCTGTTATAGACGTGGCATGCGTGCTCGATGGCGAAGTTCCATAGGAACGGCGGCAAATTGGCGTTATGCAGCATTGACATAGCTTTTTCATCTAAGGTGCGAATAATCCGTTCCGCACGGCCGTTGGTTTCGTGGTTATGCGGCGTTGATTGGAGGATGCGAATGCCACGCGATTCTAAACTTTTCGTAAAGGCTCGCGATTTAAACTCTCCCCCTGCATCGCTCATCCACATCCGAATCGTCTTGTGGTACTGATTCAGCAGCATGCTAAACCAGGTCTCTACGGCTTGTTGGACCTCGCTCTTTCAGTGCAAGAGCATGACCCATGCGTAGGACGTGCAGTCGTCCATAAGGACAAGTGCATAATATTTTTTATTCCACGACTCGACTGCGAACTCTTTGAGATCGGCATGGATTAATCCAAGGAACTCGTTGGAGCGATGTTCGTTTGGTGGGAACGGAAGCTGGTGTTTTTTGCCCAGCATGCACCCCTCGCACGGACGACGAATCGTCGGCGAGGGTAAGCTAAGACTCGAAGGAACTCCTTCAGTATGTGTCCGAGCGTAGCGAAGCACTTCGTCCGAGCAATGCCCCAGACGTTGGTGCCAGATCTGAAAGTCGGGTAGATTCATTCCGACAACACCAGTCACATGAGCCTGGTGCAGATCTAATGATGTGTGAACCCAAAATAGGTTCCCCCCAGGGCACACTGTAGCGTGCACCACTTCCTTCGACTTGTCGGCAGTGAGCACTACCAACTTGTCGGCATCTCCGTGCAGAAGGTTCCCGTTGCGGCAGAATTGACCCGTCGAAAGCATACGAACGGTTCCGCCAGGAAGGTAAAAGACGGGGTAGATTCGGGTCGTGCAAGGTTTCCCTCGCGTGTTTTCATGGCGAAGGACAACTGTCCCTGAGCCCTCACACCGGATAGATCCGGACGATGTTGAGACGGTAAACTTCTCTTCTTCTGGTAGTTCCTCATACTCGGAGAAATCCGAGAGTTCGAACGTGAAGTGCGTGGATGCACCTGAGTCAAGCACCCATCCAATAGGATAGCGTGCATGCAACTTGTCATGAAGAGATTTCTCACGATCGGTGTCGCGTACGACCAATGCTTTATCAATGCATATGTCACACCACTGAGAACTGGAATGCACGCATTGTCCATTCATAACGTTCTCAGATACATACGACGTACAACTACCGACTACATATGGTTCACCTGTAAAGGAATTAGCACCAGATACGTTGTCAGCGGCATCGATAAAACTGGTTGCACACCAGACCGACTCGCAATCGAGTGACACCGCCCGTTCTCCGCCCTGTTCGGACGGTTCCTTGAGCGACATACCCTCGAACTCCTCTATGTCGTCCTCATAGCCGTACTCGGCGACTTGGACCGGAGTGGGTGCCATGGTACGGCGAAGATCCTCCTTTTGTTGCTGGTACTCCGCGTACGCCTCTGCGTTCAGCCAGCCCTTGTGGCCGGTGGCAGAGTCGTCGACATAAGCACCTCCGCCGGCGAGGCGGTCACCAAGCTTCTGACGTTTCTTGTAGTCAGAGAACTTGGTGCGCTTGGTAGGACCTAACCCAGACACATAATGGTCAAAGTCAGAAGCGCGCGGAGGGGTAACCGACGGCTTACGAGAAGGCTCCTCTACCGGCTCGATACGAGCCGACAGAGGCGGGGACGCTGAGGGGCCCATGGAGAGCCGCTGAATCAGCGGCGTCTCCCCTGCGAACGCGGGCAACTCGGCGCGCGTTCCCTCAAACGTGGGCGCAAGGCCCTGGTCTCGCTGGCGCTTGAGTGCGCCTGCGGTTCCGTGAGGGGGCGCCGGAGCGCTGCTGCGGCCTTGATAGGCCGTCGCGGGTTGGTGGGACCGCTTGCGCGGATCGGGGGTCGGCGCGGAATACACCGGTGGAGAGTATGAGGGGCCAGACGGCCCGGAAGCGACGTGCGCGACGTGGTAGATGGGAGCCGGCGTTGTGAATGTCGCCGAGTAGTTGGCAGCGGCGGGTGCGGCACTCTGCGGCGCCTGAGGTGGCGCCGCGTTGGCAGGAGCCGACGACGATGCCGCGTTAGCGGCCGCCGGCTTCTGTTGCTGCTGCTGTTGCTGCTGCGCCTGATGCTCCTTGCGCTCCTTCTTAGAAGGACGCTTCTTCTTGCCGTCGGATGACGACTGGCCGTTGTACTGCTTCGTACTGGAGCTGGCCTTGTTGGCCTGCTCCTCCTTCACCTGAGTGACCTTCTTCTTCTTCTGGCCACCGGAGCGCATTTCCCAGGATGCTTGCATGCCGGAGATGATGTCAGCCGTCGCCAAGTTGGTGACGAGCTGCGTGGAGTTGTTGATTTGGTGTTTGAGCGGCTCGTAGCCGGCCGGGATTTTCGAGAAAAGAATGACGGCCCGAGTGGCGTCAGTGATGACACCACCCAGGCCTGCGAAACGAGAGAACGCCGCCATGATTTTGGCGAGAGCGGGGTTGGGATCGGTGTCGGCCGGGATCTGGGTGTTCAGGGCGGTCTTGATCTCGTTGACCGCCGCCGTGATCCCTTGTGCGCCTCCGCGCACCTCCAGTGTGACGAACATCTGGAGCGCCGTGTCGTCGTTCAGAATGAACTGGTTCATGTCGTAGCTGACACACTCCCTGATCTTGCCGATCGCGGTGTCGTTGGCGTCCTCCCACTTGTTGATCTCGGCCTCTGAGGGGTTGCCGGCCAGCATGACTGCGCGGGGCATGCGCAGTGCTCTACCCGCGCCGGAGGCGCGGATGTGGTTCTCCATGCGGGGCTTCCAAAGCATGAAGTCGGTGCCGGCGAAGATGCCGACAGCGGACTGGGCAGCGGTTTGCGTAGGAGTAGACATGTTGATGAATCTGGGGTAAAGATAACGTCAGCGTGGGTACACATGACGGATTACATCGTTGCCCAGGCGAGTCCACGGTAGACTAGCGGTCTAGACCTCCAGAGCCGCTCGAGACCCGAACCGGTTAAGGTGCATGGGTTCTCACGGATGTGGGAAAGGCCCTTCACACATGACAGGAGGGTGTCCCCTTGATTCCTGCCGCCCTGGTGTTTACCAGTGGGCGAAGGGGGAAACGCTTCGGATGAACCGTCGCGAATGACTCCCCCCCATGGCATACTAAGCCGCCTTGAGGTACTAGGCTCCGCCGCGCCCCGCGGGGCTCATAACCTGACAAAGGACGATCGCGAGTATACACTAGAAGTCTATAAGAGCGCGAACTCACCGGGCAGTTAGAGTTGAAGGTTGAGTTAGTAGCTTGGTAGCTGGTAGGCTGACGATGGTAGTCGTTCGGTGGAGAGAGAAGACTTAGATGATATTCATGGTAGCGACTGTATATATATGACAGGAGCGTGTGAGGTCACTACCGTATTCGTAACTACTGTGCAGTCCAAGTCCCACGGTAATGTGGAACGGCTAC